CCCAAGTAACCAAACCAACCATCAAAAAGCTAGAATTATAGCTAAGGATAAAATAGAACATATACTGTTTAACCTCAATGAAGTCAGAGATGGGCAGCCAAGGATAAGCCTTTGTGAAGAAGAGCAACTAACACAGTGGTTCTCAACCTTTTTAATGCCGCGACTCCAAACCGGTCGTAAGTCGAGGACTACTCAACCGGTCGTAAGTCGAGGACTACTCAACTGGTGCAGCACCGTTTGCAGAATGGGACTTTTGGCGGGCTCAGCAGGGCAGAGACAGCCTGGACAATTCCTACTGGCTTTTGAAAGCCAATAGAACTAGACTCTATTCAAGAGAGTCTATTCTATTGGCTTTCAAAAGCCAATAGAATAAAAGGGAGTAGCATAGCTAAGGAAAAGGGGAAAAAATGTTGGACTGTGTTGTTTGGCGAGCCCCGTGAAATGGTTGTTCGACCCCAAATGGGGTCCCGACCCACAGGTTGAGAACCACTGAACTAAGATGATCAAAGGCCTAAAAGACTAAAATGTATGAACAGTTGCAGAATTTGGGTTTGGCTCGTCTAGCGAAAAGAAGGATGAGGGGTGACATGACAGCGGCATTCCAATATCTCAAGGGCTGCCACAAAGAAGAGGGAGTCAAGCTATTCTCCAAAGTGCCTGAAGGCAGGACAAGAAGCAACGGATGGAAACTAACCGAAGAGAGAAGCAACCTAGAACTAAGGACTAACTAATTTCCTGACAGTTAGAACAATTAACCAGTGGAACAACCTGCCACCAGAAGTGGTGAATGCTCCAACACTGGACGTTTTGAAGACGAGACTGGACAGCCATTTGTCTGAAATAGTACTGGGCAGGGGTGTCAAACTGCTGGCCTACAGGCCGGATGTGTCACGCCCAAACTACACCTACCCCAGCTCCAGCAATGGGGAAAGTCACAATACGTCACATCACATGACATTGCAAGTTTGACACCCCTGTGTAGGGTTTTCCTTCCTGAGCAGGGGGTCGGACTAGAAGACCTCAAAGGTCCCTTCCAACTCTATTATTATTAACTAATCAAGAAGAAACAACCTGGAACTAAGGAGAAACGTCCTAACAGTGAGGACAATTAACCAGTGGAACAGCTTTGCCTTCAGAAGCTGTGGGTGTTTCATCCCTGGAGGTTTTAAAGAAGAAACTGGACAGTCACTTGTCTGAAATGGTATATGGTCTCTTGCTTGAGCAGGGGGGTAGACTAGAAGATCTCCAAGGTCCCTTCCAGCTCTCTTGTGATTGAGTTCTGTCTTGTGTTTAAGTACAGTATTAACCTTGTGAACTCTAAAGCTTCCTCCTTCCGTTATGTATTCAAGATGGACAGTGATTAATATATTTAATATTAATATTTATGTTACTTATACGTAAGGGTGTAGGTCTATGTTGTATATAGTATGTTTTAAATGTGTGTTATGTATGTGTACACTTTTGAGAGCAAGCAACTCAAACTCAACACATTTTTTAATGTGTGCCGTTATGCCTGCAGGAAAAAAAATGACAAAAATGAATCTTGTCTTGTATATTTACCTATGAGGCATGGCTGTATTACTTTTATCCTTCTCATCTGTTCCACTTTCTTCTCCTATTGATATCATTATTACTATTATTGCCTTATTATTATGATTATTATTAATTTATTGTTTTGCATGTACGCTGATAGCTTGTGCGCCGGAAACAAATTCACTGTGTGTCTGCTCACACTTAGCCAATAAAATATTCTATTCTAACATTGAATAGAATACTTTATTGGCCAAGTGTACGTAGACACACACAGGGAATTTGTCTCCAGCATACATGCAACACAATAAAGTAATACAATAGTACCAAATGAAGACTAAAATAAATTACTGTCCATCTATGACAGTGGTTCTCAACCTGTGGGTCGGGACCCCATTTGGGGTTGAACGACCATTTCACGGAGGTCACCAAACAACGCAGTCCACCATTTTTTCCCCCCTTTTCTTTGGCCACGCCCCTGGCACCCGGTGATGTATAAGTGGTTGGGGGTCACCACAACATGAGAAACTGTATTATGGGGTCGCGGCATTAGAAAGGTTGAGAACCACTGATTTATGATAAGGTATTTGTGAAGTTCTTTCCTATGAAAAGGAATGTGGGTTAGAACTTAGTTAGTTTTATTCAGCATTACTTTGTTGTTACAGCTATTATTTAAATTACCTGATATAGATTTCTGATTTGTGGTTTGTTTTTTTAAAAAAATCTCTAGCACCTTTACATGTAGAAAAACATACAGCAAAGCTTGGTTTATATTCAAGAGAAAACACTGACCAAGGTGCTTCTGTTAGAAAATTTATTGACAATGATATTTAAGTTTTGTGGGTGCATAGTTTAGGCCATGTCTATTCTCTGCTACATTTACAAGACTGCATCCTGGCAGGGCAACTTTCGCTGCTGGAGTCTGGAAAAACTCATCAGGTCCCTGCAGATTCCTGAAGCGGAATGTGATGCTCTGGTGACTGACAGATGTCAGGACCGACAAGCCCACCTGCCTCCTCCATTCTCCCTCCTGCATCCCACCAGATACTGAAACAGTGTCTACAAAATTTGGTGGCACACATTTTGCTGTCCGTGTGGGTGGCATCAATACTGATGAGGTAATTGTGAAGAGCAACACATGTCTTGACCACATCAGAACTGGAAAAAAGTGTACGGGCTGCTCAAGGATCTGCCATCTTGCAGCCAGAATTCCAAAAGAGTTCTCTGTGACAGCGGCCCCCAACCCCAGCCACCAGGGACCGGTTCCGTGGAGAGAGGTTTTTCCGTGGACCGGTGGGTGCGTGGTTGTGCGTGCTGCCTGCATCCCCCGGATGAGGGCTTCGCTTGTTGGTGTGGCCCCATTTTTAGCATGCCGCGGCCTGCTGCTGGTCCACGGCCCGGGGATTGGGGACTATGGCTCTATGATCCGTCTTCCTCTTGAGTGACAGGAGTTATACAAGTGAGACCGCCTCTCTCAAGACTGGAATCTGCAGAAGAGGGGAAAAAATGCACAATATTATTACTCAAAGTATTTAGGCGAAGGGATCATTTCAGCAACGACAGTCCTCAATTGTGGTATCAGCATTCAAAAAAAAATAAAAGGAAAGGAAAAAAGTTGGCTTAAACATAAAGGTAAATACAGGTAATCCTGGACTTACGACCACAATTGAACCCAAAGTTTCTAAGCAAGACTGTTGTTAAGTGAGCTTTGCCCCGTTTTATGACCTTTTTGCCACAGTTGTTAAGTGAATCCCTGCAGTTGTTAAGTTAGTACCACGGTTGTAAAGTGAACCTGGCTTGTCCCATTGACTTGGCTTGTCAGAAGGTCACAAATGTGATTGCGTGACCCCGGGACGCTGCAGCCATCGTAAATATGTCAAAGCAAGAACATCCGAGCAACCGTGACATATGAGACGGTTACTAAGAGTCCAAGTTTTGATCACGCGACCATGAAAACGGTCACTTTTTTCAGTGCCACTGTAATGTTAAACGGTCCCTAAACAAATGGCTGTTGTGAGAGGGTGAACGTCTGTTCTCTGAGGTTGTGGGGTTTGGTTTCCAAAAGTTTCGTCAGCAGTCTAGGTAACATCTTCTGCGGAGTTTAGGGGATGTCGGTGTCAGTGTTCTGTTTATAAGGGCTTCAGGTGTGGGTGTGTCGAGTGAGGGTCTTGTGATGGGTCAGGTGTGAATCATTAGTGAGTCTTGTGATGGGTCTTGTGATGGATCGGTTATATCAGGTCAGGGTCACTGGGAGGTGAACTGCTGGGGGGGGGAGGAGGGGGGATTGCGTGGGATGGTTGAGGGTCTCTGGTTGGCTGTGCGGTTGATCTGGATTCTGAGGGGTTCGTAGGTTGGTTGTAGGTCAATGAAGATGGTTCCCTACCCTGGTAAGGAAACGTTCGGAAACCAACCCACAAGCTCGGAGAACGAACCTTCACCCTCGTCCTACACCTGAGCCACTACTGCAAATAGTCGTAAGTTAAGGACTACCAGTATAGTGAAAGTGTTTAATTTAATAAGCCCACCTTGGAATGGCTCCATGAGGTTCACAGGCAGCGGAAAGTCTGCACCTCAGACGATGATGCACGGTATTTTGATGTTTGTCCCAGGAAGATCACCAGGTGGAGGGAAGTCCAGTTTGCCTTTGAGCAGGACTCTGCCAAGGTGCCCCTCCTGAAAAACACCCCCCCCATTGTTCTCTCGTCCATGGGCACCCATATCAACCATAATAAATTTATACTGGACATCACACGTGGCCATCAGCATTGTGAAACAATGTCCTTTGTACTTAAGATATCCCCTGCCACAATGAGACAGGGCTTTTAATTCGTACATGTTTTCTGTCAATTGCTCGGACACAATTTGGGAAATCCCACAGCGTCCAAAGGAGTCCACGGCAATGTTCAGCCACTGCTGTAGTTTGGGGAAGGACGCAAATTCATCCCGCGTGGCTTTCCAAATGGCTTGGCCAACTTCAGTCAGGATTAATCAGGGTCCTCATCCCGTCACTTCCAGTCGCACTCTGCCGAGAAGCACCACCGGCTAGGAGTCACCACTAGTCGCTCAGCTGCGCTTATTGGGGAACTGTGGGTGGACTGGGGGACAATGTGTGGCCCTATGCAGTGCAGGAAGTCTGACAACCAGTGTGGTGACATGCAAAAATACTTGAAGTCATCTCCTCATCCATCGAGTATATATGCCACACAAGCCAAGTTATATTCATCCTTTTTTTTTGGCCTGGTTGTATTCAGAGCCCTCATATACAGGTAGTCCTCAACTTATGACCATAATTGAGCCCAGGACATCTGTTGCTAAGTGAGACAGGTTGCTAAATCTGGCTTTTCCCATTGACTTTGCTCATCAGCAGGTCGCAAAAGGGGATCGCGTGACCCTGGGAGACACTGCAACCGACATAAATAGGAGTCAGTTGCCAAGCATCTGAATTATGGCCATGTGACTGGGGGGGGGGCTGCAATGGTCGTAAGTGTGAAAAAAAAGATCGTAAGTCACTTTTTTCAGGGCTGTCAAATGGCTGTCTAAATGAATGTTGTAAGTTGAGGACTACCTGTGTCATTTTTTTTTCCTTTTTCTGCCATCGTAGGTTGCAGCATATTGCTCGGCATAGTGTTGCAACAGCGGATCCTTTTTTTACAGATTGTACTACTTTTAGGCCATGACAATGTTCGAGTGCCACCAGGGATTGGCAAAGGTGTCAAAAACTTGATAATCAGAGGAAAAAGAGGGGAAAAAAAGTGATAAAGGGCACCCACTTACCACACACTTTTAATGGGACACTTGTGCCTGTTTCTCTGACATGATTCTTTGCACTCGTGGCTGGAGAGTGCTTACTGACAGGACTAAGTCAGATTCCAGCTGAAGACAATTCCTTTCCTTAGTTCTTATACATTTAAGTGAGGAAAACACCTTCTCGCACAAGTATGTGGAGCAAAATGGCAGTAACGCTGCGATAGCTTTCCCCCCCACTTTCGGGTACCGTTTTGCCACTTGGCTCCAGAACTCGGTCAGTGTTTTTTCATTGAAAAGTTCCTTCAAACTGCGGTTTGATATCACTTCCATTAGGGCTTCTTGCTCTGGAGAGGAAAGGTCAGCGTTCACCACATTGTCCATAATGAAGGGCGATGCAACCCAATGAATTCCAGTATCGCATCCCCTGGACACGAATGGAAAATACAACGCAAACTCGGTGTGCAGGTTGTCCAAATGATTTTTGATGGCAGTTTTAATGTCTTCAGTGTCAGCGGCAGAATTTAGTTCAATGAAGTCTGACACACTGGGAAATGATGCAACGTTTCCTTTCTGTACTTGGCCTATCCACAGGGAGATCTTTTTGTAGAAGGCACAAACTTTGTCTTCCATAACAAACACGTTATGACCGTGGCCCTGCAGTGACTGATTAAGTTCATTTAGCTTTTTAAATATGTCAGCCAAATAGGCAAGGCAGGACACCCAGGAGACATTTTCAAACTTTTCTGCTAGGGGTGATGAAATGTTTGCCAGGAATTGGTGCGTTTCATCTCGTAGCTCAAATAATCTTGATAATGTTTCACCTTTTGACAACCAACGTGCTTCTATATGAAAGAGAAGAGTGCTGTGCTCAGAATCCAAATCCTTGCATAATTGTCGGAATAAACGTCCATTCAATGGCCGGCTTTTGATGCAATTTATTATTTTTGTAGCATCCTCCAAAATCTCATGGAACACTGGGCTCATCTGTTTAGAAGCAAGTACATGTCTATGCAAGATGCAATGATTTGAAACAATGGAACTGTTTCTTGTCTTAGCTTGTGCTATCACATCCGAAGCTCTTCCTGTAAGAGCTGCTGCACCATCGGAACAAATTGCTACACACCAAGTCCATAATATTCCATGTTTATTGAAAAAATTGTCGATCATTGTGAATATTTCTTCTCCAGTCGTTTTGCCAGGTAGTGGGCGGCAAAATAATATGTGTTCCAGTATATTGTCCGAATCAGGAACACGCACAAAAACAATTAATTGCGCATTACCAGCGATGTCAGTGCTTTCGTCCAATTGAAATGCAAATTTTTCTGCTGCTGTAATCTTTTCCACCACTTGTTGAATAACATCTGTGGCCATATCTTGTATTCGTCTTTGGACGGTGTTATCAGAACATGGAATATTACGAATAGCATCAGCCATTTTTTCATCAAAGAGAATTGAAGCAATTTCAATGGCAGAGGGAACCACGACTTCTTCAAAGATGGTATGAGGCTTATTTTGTTTAGCTGCTATCAAGGACAATTCATAAGATGCTTCCAAACACTTTTTCGAGATGTTTGTGGACAACACGGAAGTAGCACGTTGTTTTATAAATTCGTCTCTTTTCTTCACAAAAAATTCTATTGGCTTTACGGTGTGCTCTTTATGTTTTGTTGTAAAATGTCTCTGGAGCAAAGAAGGCTTCATGGAATGCTTGGATAACACTTGATTGCAGATAACACAAACAGGAATCTGCTGATCGTTTTCTTCCATGAAATAAAATCCAAACTTCAAATAATCTTCACTGTATTTTCGATTTGGTGCCGGTTTTAATTTCTTCAGTGGCGGTTCCGTTGTTGAATCACTTTCCTTTTGCACTGATGAATATATGATAAATTTAGCCATATTTATTAATATACACCAGTACCTTGTTGGTCAGGTGGCTGGTTGGCTCTTCTTCCTTTCTCCCTCTCCTCTCTCTTTTTCCTGACTGCCTCCTGGTCTCTCTTTCAACAGCCTCTGCTCTTTTGCTTGATCCCTCTGCTTGTCTCACAAAAGCTTCTCCCTCTTTTCCTCACTGTTTCTCCCACAAAAGCCTCTCCTCTTCTCCTTCTTTCTCCTCACCCTTCTCTCACAAAAGCTTCTCCTCTCCTCCCTGGCTTTCTCCTCACTGCTTCTCTCATAAAAGCCTCTCCTCTCCTACCTCTTTCTCCTCACCCTTTTCTCACAAAAACCTCTCCTCTCTTCCTTCTCTTTCTCACCCTTCTCTCACAAAAGCCTCTCCTCTCCTCCCTGGCTTTCTCCTGACTTCTTCTCTCACAAAAACCTCTCCTCTCCTTCTTCTCCTCACTAATAAAAGCCTCTCCTCTCCTACCTCTTTCTCCTCACCCTTTTCTCACAAAAACCTCTCCTCTCTTCCTTCTCTTTCTCACCCTTCTCTCACAAAAGCCTCTCCTCTCCTCCCTGGCTTTCTCCTGACTTCTTCTCTCACAAAAACCTCTCCTCTCCTTCTCTTTCTCACCCTTCTCTCATAAAAGCCTTCCCTCCATGGCTTTCTCCTCACTGCTTTTGTCACAAAAGCCTCTCCTCTTCTCTCTTTCTCCTGACTGTCTGCTGGCCTCTCTTTCCACAGCCTTTGCTCCTTTGCTTGATCCTTCTGCTTGTCTCACAGAAACCTCTCCTCTTCTCCCTTTTTCTCCTGACTGCTTCTCTCACAAAAGTTTCTCCTCTCCTCCCTCTTTCTCCTCACCCTTCTCTCACAAAAGCCTCTCCTCTTCTCTATCTTTCTCCTTCAACTTTTTTTTATCTCCCTCTCCCGCCAAAACCTCCTCCTTTTATATCAGTGGTTCTCAACCTTTTTAATGCCGCGACCCCCAACCGGTCGTAAGTCAAGGACTACTCAACCGGTCGTAAGTCGAGGACTACTCAACTGGTGCAGCACCCTTTGCAGAATGGGACTTTTGGTGGGCTCAGCAGGGCAGAGACAGCCTGGACAATTCCTATTGGCTTTTGAAAGCCAATAGAATTAGACTCTATTCAAGAGAGTCTATTCTATTGGCTTTCAAAAGCCAATAGAATAAAAGGGAGTAGCACAGCTAAGGAAAAGGGGGGGGGGAAATGGTGGACTGCATTGTTTGGCAACCCCCGTGAAATGGTCATTCGACCCCAAATGGGGTCCCGACCCACAGGTTGAGAACCACTGTTTTATATCCTCTCCTCTCTCCGCCCTCCTTCTCCTTTTCTCTTCTGGGTGAGCCAGAAACACTAATCATTATGTGGCCACATGTGCCAATCCTGGGGCTTCTGCCAAGCTCTAACAGCCCTGCAGCTGCAGCTGACTCTCCCCCAGACCTGTGCAGTGGCGCTTCAGCTCATTCCCTCTCCCTGCTACACTTGTCTAGGAGTCGTATACCATCTGCCAGGTGCCAAAGTACCACTGGTGGTACGTGCACCACCGGTTGAAAAGTCCTGATGTAGAAGTCTAAATTGTGTCTAATACTAAAGAACATCAAGACAGGATAATCTTGAATTTCTCCCTCATTCCTGCCTGTATTTCTGAATAAAGTTATGTTTTTAGGATGGCTACCTCCATGCTTCTCTGTACATACTCTGAGCCACTTTAAGGTAAATACATTTGCTAAAATAAACTTAATTTATATTTAAAATATATATATTTTAATATTCTCTGGGCAGCATGTGAATTTAATAAATAAATAAGGCCGCCCAGAGTTGTTTTGGATTGTGAGCTGGGCAATATATACATTTAATAAATAAATAAAATAATGCAAATATGAATTTCAAATAAAGATGAAAAATATTTTTAAGCATTCTTTGTACTGCTATGTTCCTTCCTCAGCACTTTCTTCATCTTTCAGTCCGAATGAGTAAAAACAATGCAACATCTCTTTTGCCTCTTTGGAGGTAAGTAAGGAGGTAAGTTCCTATTTACTTACAATAGGAACAATAAAAAGTATTCCTATTGAAAGTAAATAGACAATAGGAACATCTTCTGATTATCTACTCATCCCTTTCTTCCAAAATGCATATGTTCCTTACTGAATGCTCCAATTCACTTTTTTTTTGGAGGTAGGTAAATGGAAGTAAAGATGTGGCTATTTATTTATCAATTTATATGTTTCCCATCTCACCCAGTGCTGACTCTAGGCAGCTTGCAATTAAATAAAAACAAGATAAAACATTAAAATAATAAATATTAACATTAATTTAAAAATAAATGTTAAGATTAATCTTGTTTCTAGACAAGATGGGCAGCAATCTAATCTAATCTAACCTAACACAACAAATAGCATAGGATAGGATAGGATAGGATAGGATAGGATAGGATAGGATAGGATAGGATAGAAATGGTATGGAATAGAATAGGGATAAGGATAGGGTAGGGTAGAGTAGAGTAAAGTAGAATAGAACAATAGAACAGGGATGGGATAGGATAGGGTAGGGTAGGGTACGGTAGAGTAGAGTAGAATAGAATGGAATAGAATAGGCATGGGGTAAGGATAGGGTAAGGATAGGGTAGGGTAGGGTAGGGTAGAGTAGAGTAGAACAGTAAAGGGATGGAATAGGATAGGATAGGATAGGATAGGATAGGATAGGATAGGATAGGGTAGGGTAGGGTAGGGTAGGGTAGGGTGGAGTGGAGTAGAGTAGAGTAGAATAGGGATGGGATGAGATAGGGTAGGGTAGGGTAGGGTAGAGTAGGGTAGAGTAGAATAGAATAGAATAGGATAGGATAGGATAGGATAGAATAGAATAGAATAGAATAGGGATGGGAAGAACAGAGCAGAATAGTTGAGAGGCTAACCCTTGCCAATTTGACTGAATGGCAAAGTCCCCCTTACTTGAAGAGCCAACGTTTCTCTGCTGCAACTGGAGATCCTCCTCCATCCTTCCAGGAACAGGCTGGACCGACTTCACCCCGGCTGCTGGCAAGCAAGCATCTCTTTCCTTCGGGTCTGTGACCTCCTGCATAAAGTAAGAGACAATCATCCCCTTCCCATCCAATTCTACTGCAATAGAAAGAGGTGTCATGAAAACTTTTACTCCCACTGTAAAATCCAGAACTATTTATAAACAATTCCTTTTTGCTTATTAAAGCAAGGATGGAATGGATCTTTATTATGTTAACAATACAGGAGGTCCTCGACTTAGGTCCTTTCATTTAACAATGGTTTAGAACAGTGGTGGCAAACCTATGGCACTCGGAGCCCTCTTTGTGGGCACACGTGCCATTGCCCCAGCCTTGTCTCCCCCCCGTGAGCCCCTCCTCACCAGCAGCCCCCCTGGAGGAGAGTCGCCCCCAAGCGTGGGCCACACGGAGCAGCACAGCCAAGGACATGGCAGCCAGGCAGCGTAGACAAGACTCTGCCCTCGACCCATTGCACAGTTGATGCTGCGGGGGGGGGAGAGGGTGTGGCCACCATAGCGCTGCTGGGCTGCCTAGGCGATCTGCAGCGGGCCCTGGAGGCGGTGAGTGGCCCAGCAGGCAGGCAGGGTAGGGACGGGGCAGGAGCGGGGCCAGTTTTTGGGCACTGGGTCTCTAAAATGTTCGCCATCACTGGTTTAGAATTACAACAGCACAGGAAAAAGTGACTTATCACCCATCCTTAAAGTTACAACCGCTGTAGCATTTCCGTAGTAATGATTGCAATTTGGGGGCTTGGCAACCGGCTCACATTTAAGATTGTATTATTAACTAGATGATGTAAGATGGTGGGAAATAGAATACACTCAAATAGATAAGATGTGTATTTTGAATATTAGACTTTATTAAGAATTGTGATAAAGGAAACTTTGGTTACCAAAAATTTGGAAACTATAAAATGTTAAATTTAAATATTGACGGGAAACTAAAAATTGGGAAAAACTAACTACAGGACATTGATTGTTCATAAAGATTGAATGTTAAAGTAACTAGGATATGTATAAGCTAAACATTTATTGATAAATGTAACAATGCTATCTTTACTTAATGGATATCTATCTCTATCTATCTATCTATCTATCTATCTATCTATCTATCTATCTATCTATCTATCTATCTATCTATCTATCTATCTATCCTTACAGTAAGAATTCTATTAGTTTAAATATGAGACAGTAGATATTAAGGGAAAAGGAGAGGAAATATTTGATGTGGTAGTTTGAGATCTGTACTAAAGATTTTCGTATGTTATTGAATTATTGATTAACTCACCTGCCATGTTTCTTTTTAAATACTTAAATGTAAAATTAGAAAATCAATAAAATATTACAAAAAGAAAAAAGAAAAATGGTCATGAATCACATTGTTCAGTGCCACTGTTTAACTTTGAATGGTCACTAAACGAGTACGTTGCAAGTCGAGGACTACTATCCTAGGCTCACTATCTGAAGGAGGTTTCAGTAGGGCTCCAGAGATCAACTGGAAATAGATTCCCAAGTAACAAAACCAGCCAGTAGAAAGCTGGAATTTTAGCTAAAGATAAAATACAACTTATACTGTTTAACACAGAGGTCCCCAACCCCCGTTCCGTGGACTGGCACCGGGCCACGGCATGCCAGAAACTGGGCTGCACAAACAAACAAAGCCCCATCCATGGGATGCAGGTAGCACACGAAACCACGCCCCCTCCGGTCCGCAGAAAAACCTCTCCCCACAGAACCGGTCCCTGGTGCCTAAAAAATTGGGGGCCTCTGGTTTCACCTCAATGAAGTCAGAGATGGGCAGCCAAGAATAAGCCTTTATGAAGAACAGCAACTAAGACGATTAAAGGCCTGGAGACTAAAACATATGAAGAAAGGTTACAGGATTTGGGTTTGTCTAGTCCACAGGTCGGCAACCTGCGGCTCCGGAGCCGCATGCGGCTCTTTGAGCCTTCCCCTGTGGCTCCCAGCCTCCTCTGCCTTTGCAGAGAGAGACAGAGACAGAGAGAGGCAATTGCACTTCCCTGCTTCTCTCTCTCTCTCTCTCTCTCTGTGTGTGTGTGTCTGGGTGTGTGTGTGTGTGTGTGTGTGTGTGTGTGTGTGTGTGTGTATGTGTAAAAGAGAGTGCACTCACAGTGTTCTCCGAGGAGCTGAAAAGCTTTCTGGGCGGAGCTCCTCCCTTTGCTGCGTCTCTGAAGGAAGCAGGAAGCAGGAAGGGCAGGAGAGAGCTAGCTAGCCCAGCTAGGCTGACTCAGGAATTCTGGGAGTTGAAGTCCATGAGTCATAAAAGAGACGAGGTTGCCTACCCCGGAGGTTGTTGGACAACAGCTTGAAGCTTGCCAGGTGAGCAGCAGATAGGAGGGGGGGGAGAAAGAGAGAGAGAGAAAGAGAGAGAGAGGGAGAGAGAGAGAGTGGGGGAAGAGGAGTGGCAGACCAAGGGCAGATAGAGAGGGAGGGAGAGAGAGACCCTTTTGACATCTAAAATGAAGATAACACTGCATATATCCTTTTTTTACCTGTGTGTGTATGTAATTTTATTCTCTTAAAGCATTCTCTTGGTGATCATTGTTTTAATAGTATGGATATTCCCAAGAGTCATATTTTTACTTTTATTTTTAATGTGTATATGTGTGTGTGTGTCTGTGTGTGTGTGTGTGTGTATACACACACATATACACATACACATACACACACACACATACACACACCTATAATAAAGGTAAAAAAGGATATATGCAGTGTTATCTTCATTTTAGATATCAAAAGGGTTTTGCGGCTCCCAGTGTTTTGTTTTTGGTGGGAAACGGGTCCAAGTGGCTCTTTGAGTGTTTTGGGTTGCCTACCCCTGGTCTAGTCTAGAGAAAAGAAGGTCTAGGGGGGACATGATAGCAGTATTCCAGGACCTGAGGGCCTGCTACAAAAAAGAGGGGGTCAAATTATTTTCCAAAGCACCAGAAGGCAACAATGGATGGAAACTAATCAAGGAGAGACGCAACCTGGAACTAAGGAGAAACTTCCTAACAGTGAGGGCAGTTAACCAGTGGAAGAGCTTGCCTTCAGAAGTTGTGGGTCCTTCATCCCTGGAGGTTTTTAAAAAGAGACTGGCCAGCCGCTTGTCTGAAATGGTATAGCAGTGATGGCGAACCTTTTAGAGATCGAGTGCCCAAACTGCAACCAAAACCCACTTATTTATCGCCGGTGTCAGGTGGGCGTGGCCCACTGGGTGGGCATGGCCATGGTGGACACGGCATACTGGGTGGGTGGGGCCAGGGTGGGTATGGCCACCTCAATGTTGCGCATGGGGAGGGACGCGTAAGCGGCTGGTGGCCACGGTAGATACCGAGGTGTGCGAGGGAAATGTGCTCCATTTGCGAGCCAAGAGCAAGACCCTCAAGGAGGCTGAGATGACCAGTGGCGACCTGCTCTCTGACCCAAGAGATGGGACAGCGTAGGAATGTCCGGCGGTCTGCATTATATGCTCCCCCGACTCCGTATGCTGCCTGTCAACGGTGCAAATAATGTATATTCTTGCTTTGACAATATGCAGAACTGTCTGGTATTTATGGGGTTAATAGAGCAGAAGGGGGGTGGGGGTAAAGCCCGGGAAAGAAAGAGGAAGGAAACCTTTGACCTTCACACTAATTGGATAATGTGATATATGACAGCTAATTTAGGGAGGGAACATGCTGATAATTTAACTGCTCAAAGGAAGAGAACTTAGATCTTAGCATAAGCCTCCGTTATGCCTGTGCCGACATTTTGTACCAGTCAATGACTTTTAGGAAAATAAATGCCTGGATGTTCTTTGAAGTGTTTCATTAGCCAGAACCATAACACTGCCGGTGCCACTGCAGCGCTGCTGCTGGAGGGCTTTCAATGATATAAACAACTTTTTATTGAAAGGCAAAAGTTTGCATTTGGCATGCTTTTGAAGAATTAATGTGATTTTTGCTGTCATATGTATGCTGATAATTTGTCTAATCTTGGCTCATACTTGTAAGTTTGAGAGCAACACATGCAGCACTCAGGTCCTCTGTTAGTCTGTTTCTGGTGTCAGATTTGATATTATTCAAAGCTGAAAACAGCTGCTCACAAGCATAAGATGATCCACACAAAGTAAGGAAAGCAATCCCAAGTGCTTTCGTTGACTTAAAATTATTTGGCAGAGAATTCCACACTTTTGAGGATTTCGTTTTCAGAACTAACTGTGCTGTCCTTTGTCATCCCTTCCATCTTTTCTAGTGTTTCACGCAGGTCACAGAATTTATTTTTCCAGATAGTTTTCTTGAAATTCTAGTAGCTCCATTTCCAGATTTCCTAAATCTAACCAGTGTAAGCAGGAAAGATCAAGTTCTTCAAATGTGGCTTTATCTGGAGAAGTAAGAAAACACAGGGTTGTCTCCATCTTCCGGAACTGTAAAAATCTATTACTAAAATTCATGTTTGCAGCTGCTACAATGCTAGAAAATTCCTTGTAGATTTCCTGATAGCTTGTAAGTATTGCAGAATTTTCTAAATGCATTTTTAGATTGGGAAAATATTTCAGCTGCCCACTTTCAAGGTCTCTTTCAAAAACCTGCAGTTTTCTCTCAAATGTTTTGATATCACAAAACATCCTTTCTGCTGTTTTCCCTACACCTTGTAGTTGTTTGTTCAGTGTAGTGTAAAATCTGTAAAAAACATGAGGTTAGTAAGCCAGGCCGTATCAGTGAGTTGTGGATATTCCTGCCCTTATTCGTTCATAAACAGCCTAATTTCATCCAAGCAGGCTACAACTCTCTCCCGGACTCGTCCTCTGCTCAGCCACCAGACATTATTGTACATAAACAATTATACTGTGCCCAAACCTCAAGAAGTGCTTGAAACTGTTGACAATTCAGAGCATGAGCCATGATGTAATTCACCATTTTTGTGACATCTCTGAGGATATTGTCAAATTTTTTGTTGCTTTCCCTGGCACAAAGAGCTTCTTGATGTATAATACAATGGAACTGAATGACTTGATGTTTTGTTTCTTTAATAAAGAACTGTATGAAACCAGATGTTGCCCCCACCATAAA